GAGATTATAATTGATTCTACTAATTAATTACATCATCATAAAGGAAAAATTATTTTAACTAATAAGGCAACGGAATATTCTAGTCAACAGTTATCCATAGTTCCAATGATGTTACAATTGTGTGATTGTTTATGTTCTTTGTTCTTGCTTTCTTAACTTAACTCTTGAGAAGTGTAGCTTATCCTCCACTTTTATATTTGCTTTGTTCTCTTTCTTAATAATATTTCTTCATTTATCAAAATAAAAATTATTAATACATTTTTCGCCACAAGAATAAGTCCATGATAACATAATTTTATCTCATATTTTTTGGGGAATCCAGAGAGGAAATGTAGCAAATCAGAGGGAGCATCTAATATTGCTACTTGCCAATATCGATGTTAGGAAGAGAAATCTTCAAGATTATGATCAGGTGAATCATTGTTCCTAAAAGTTCTTAGATTTTTCTTTGATCATATATTGCTTGATGCTGGAGATTGATAAGAAAGGTCATTGCAGCTGAATAGTAGCACCATAAAAAAGTTGATGGATGACATTTTCAAGAATTATCGCTCATGGTGTAAATATTTACGTTGTAAATCAATGATAAGGTATACTATCTGGTTTCTGTCCAGATCATAAATTAAAACTTTGCAAAAAGCTAATTAGATTTTAAGTTCCACTGCATCACAGTGTTGGCACGAACTATGTATTTTTGGTGTGTGAATATTCTTTTTTTCTAAAAATTTTCAGCATTCCTTCTGGTTGTGATGGGCAACAGCTCCAGCTTATCTACATTGGACTTTATCTTCTCATATGGGGTGAAGCTTCAAATATTCGGTTCATGCCTGAATGTATTTGCTACATTTTCCATAATGTATGTTTCTCCTATTACCAAAGATTTTAGGATTCTCTGTTTGCATATATGTGATGGTGCACCCTTTATGTTTTTATCTGGAGGGGGGCTGAAAGTGTTATGAACTTATAAAAGGTGATTGAATATTTTAAAATTGTCTTTCATTTTTTAAAACTCAAAAATAACTATAAATATGTAAGATGAGAACAGTAGTGATTTATCAAACTATGCATTAATTTGTAAACTTTTGGGGGCATGGCTTGTAACAAAATTTGTGGTTCACTTTTACCATCGGGTTTCTTTAATAACTATAGACACATATGGAATAAAATATTGATTTACTTTGCATGTTCAAAGCAGGTTTAAAGAAAATACCGCTGGTTTATTAATTAGTCTTGTGAAAAGACAAGAAAACAAGAAAACTTTAGAGAGATAGAAGATACAAATGTGAATTATTTCATTGGAATTGACTT